CTAGCTAGCGTGAGGCAGTAGAAGTGGGATAAGAAACAGAAATGAATCAGCTTGGTTAAGGATCAAAAATGAACATTTAATTCATTTCAATAATGAACATATAAATTTACTCAATTTTTTTTACGTTTCTTATATAAACTAGTCACTTTAAACATAATGTAATGCTAAAAGTGTGAAACAACTTTCATGAAGGATGAAAACTCCCATCACCTGATTACAGGCAGGAGTTCCTGTTTGGGTCACACAGCCCATCCTCACCACTTTCCTGCCTTTTAAAGTTGACACTTGTAGTTTCGCTGTTTGTGGGATACGCTTTCTGAAAAGAACCAGGAGAACAGGTGAGAAACTTCGAAATTCCACATTTATACTGTTATAAAAGACAGGATATAATATCTGTATAGTAGACAGTAACAAAGTTCTGAATAGTTTCAACTTGAGAATTGACATATCTAATGTATTCAGTAATATTCACAAAAATAATTCATATTCTTCTCTCCTTTTCTAAACCTCTGTAGTAAAAGCTGAGATGTATGCTTCAGTTAACGTTGCTAAGCTAAAGCTGTTAGTCACAGATGCTTTGGGGGATTCTGGGCCTTGTGCAAGTCAGAACCTGCTCATTTGGAAGATGCTGAGCAGAGCTCAAATTGGGAAGAAGTGAAGAATGTGGTCCTAGGAAATGAAACTTTTCAGAGCCTTGGTATTCCCCGGGAGGCTGTGGTGGAGACGGAAGAGTGCTGGGGTTCTAGTCTTAACTGTCCCGCGTTAGCCGGGTACACTCCAGCGGCTCTCCCGACCCCTCCAAGCTTCTGGTTCCTCGTCTGTAACTCAGAGATGGTAGGGAAACTGATTGACAGGCTGGTGTTAGGAGCAAATGCAGTGATGTGTATGGAACAGCATCCTGTGTCTGTTGTGGAAGGTTTTTGCCATGACTACTAAAAATGAGATATGTGGTCACTGAAGTAAAAGCTTTTATTTTAACTTTTTATTTCCAATATTATGGTTTCATAGGAGGCACTGTTCTCTTTCCCAAGCATATCTCTCTTTATACCTTATAGCTGTTTGTCACTACCCAGCAAGAACTCTCCTTCTTTGAGAAATATGGCAATGAACTAGTGTCTAGGCTGACTGGGCCTTGGGCCAGAGACGTTTTTAAACTGGTCCACCAGCTCTGACCGAATTGTTTACCAGTGGTAGTCAGTTTCAAAATATATGGTGGACATTGTCTACCACTATCTCGGACATGGGTGCAAATTATATTGCAGCCATCTTATTCTATAACTATGCTTTTAAAAATGTCTCAAACTGATGAAAGTTCAAGCAGGGTTTGTAACCCTTTGGTGAATTCTTTACCTGACACCATATGGTCTTACTTGGGTTTTCCTCTTTACTCTTAGCCACCTCCCCTTTTCTAGGCTCTCTGGAAATTCTTGCACTGAAAAACCCAGGACTTTTCTTGCTTAAGAAAAAGTTACCCATCAGCGTATAGCTGTGACTCTTGTCCTGATCACCCCACTGTGTGCCTCCCACCCACCCCTGGACACACAGTGGTAACTCTGTATTCTGATTAAATGTGTGAAGGGACAGCGGGGGGAGAGGAGACACATCCCTGCACAAACTCATTATTATGCTAAATATTTTGAGAAAAAAAGGGTCTCAGATACACGTAGGCTCTTAGGTGAAAAATACCATCTTGGTTCAGTATTTCCCATTTTACCATCCATTCATGTAAGCTCTACTAAAATGAAGCCTCAAATAAGTTTCGCTTGTAGACACACACTCATCCAGTTTGTCTCAAGCCACTAAATGTTTTGTACAGTCATTTGGTCTTTGGAAATAGGGAAACAGAAGCCATGTCTGTGTGCTTACCGTTTTCACTCGCTGCCACCTTTTTCAGCGGCCACACAGATTCGCCCCTTCAGAATAGTGAAGAGGTGGTCTTCGGAGAACTGTGATTTGCGTTGTGTTGGTTCTTTTACAAACAAAACAACTGAATGCATCCAAGTTAATAATGGAGAAGTTTACCTGTCCAATACAATGTAATGTTATAAATCTAGCAGGTAATTTAGAAAAAAGAATCCTCTGAAGTAATATGAAATAATTTTCTGATGAAAAGGCACCCAGTGCTGCTCTCTGATACTTCTCCCCCCACCCTTTTTGTACATTTTAGGATTGTGAACAAGCATTACATTCACACAGGTTTAAAAATAAAACAATATGCAGTGAAAAGGTTTCTTGTCCCCATCCTCTTCTATCATCCCTCGTCTTTCCAGCCCCCCCCAATAACGTATTGTTTTCTGTCACTTTCTAGAGTTTATTAATAAGATACAAACAATACAAATATGTATCTGTATCTTTCCTGTTTTTTCCTTTTTTATGTAAAAGGTAGCATATACATGCGGTGTGCCTTTTGTTGTTGTTAAACAGTATATTTGGATTTTTCCCATGGAGAGAGCATCATTCCTTGTACGGCTGTAGGCTATTTCTTTGTATGGATATGCCATAACTTATTTAGACAGTCTCATATCAAGGACATCTGATTGTTTCCTATTTTGGGGTATTAAAAAACAATGTTGTAAATAATCTCAGACCTATATGGTGTAACATATGGGCTGCATGTGTTTAGTTTCCAGACATGGACTTGCTGGGTCATGGTATGTACATTTTCAATTTTGAGAGTTATTGCCAAGTTCTCTTTCATGGGGGTTATAGCTATTTAATCTTACTCCAATAGTGCATGAAAGTGCCTTTTCTCCCACAGTCTTGCTAACAGAATGTTATCAAATGTTTGGATTTTTGCCAATCTGATAGATGAAAAATATATCTCAATATGACTTTAATTTGTATTTCTCCTATTTGACTGAAGTTGAACATCTTTTAATGTATTTGAGTTATTTGTATTTACTTTTCTGAGCATTTTCTGCTTGTATCTTTTGTGTATTTTTCTGTTGGTTTGTTAGATCCATTTTTAGGAATTCTGTTAGGACTTAGGCCTTGGTCTATGAAATTCATTGCAAATTTTTTCCAATTTTGCATTAGTCCTTGACTCCCCCCCCCCCCCCCCCAACAGAAGTTGTTGGTTTTTATTTAGTTATCAGTCTTTTCTTTTGTGGCTTTTGAATGTTGAGTCATACTTAGAAAGGCCTTCCTCATTCTAGGGTCATAAAGGAAATCTCCAATGTTTTCTCACAGGACTTTAATGCTGTTTTAGTCCATTTTGTGTTGCTATAACAGAAATACCTGAGACTGGGTTATTCATAAGGAAAAGAGGTTTATTTGACTTACGATTTTGGGACAGCTGCATCTGGCACGGGCCTCAGGCTGCTTCTACTCATGGTGGAAAGTGGCAGGCAGCCAGTGGGTACAAGCAGATCACATGGCCAGAGGAAGCAAGAGAGAGAGAGAGAGAGAGAAGGTGCCAGGGTCCTTTAAATAATCAGCTCTCAGCTCTCGTGGGAATTAATAGAGCGAGAACTCACTCATTACTCCTCCCTCCCCCAGGGAGAGCATTAATCCATTCATGAGGGATCTGCGCCCATGACTCAGTCAGTTTCCAACACTGCCACATTGGGGATCAAATTTCCATATGAATTTTGGAGGGGACAACACATCCAATCTCCATCAAATACCTTTATTTTTTACCTATATATCTGTGATCTGTGTAGGGACTTATCCTGGTATGCCATGTGAAGTTGGTATTCAGCTTTGCTTTATTATTTTTTGATGCTACATACTCCGTTGTCCCCAGGCCAATGAATGACTAGCCCTAATATTTCTTCTTAAAATGTTTTTCAAGGTCCAAAAAGTTGGCAGCTCTTGCAGAAACCTTAAAGGAGGTCTCCCTTACAAAAGCCCAGCTGGGACTAGAACTGGAAGAACTGGAAGAAGCGGCACTTCTTGTCCAGGAGGAGGAAACTGCGTCACAAGCAGCCCCTTCCCTTTCCCGGCAGCAGACAGTTTGCTCCGGTTCCGAGGCGAGTGATTCGGAGGAATCGGACAGCACCGCATCATCTGGAACCGGGGATTCCGATTCCGAACAAGAGGAGCTCTTAGACTTTCAGCCTGAGACAGACGGTTCTTTGCGAGGTCCCTTTCTCGAAGAAAGCACTGCCCCGCTTATTGACGGAGGTTGGGCGTGCAGAAGCTGGGCCTTGCAGGGGTGCAGTGGTGAACGGGGAGGGCCGCCCGCCTCCTCCCGGGCTCCTGGAGCGCCAGGGCCTCTGATAGAGGAGCTAGGGGAGCGGCTGCAGAGCTCACTGCAGGTCTCCGAGCGCAAGGGCGCCGCGGCTGCAGACCACAGCCATGTGCAGGAGGGAGGCAGCCAGCAGACACCGAGTAGTTAACTCCGTTTTATTCTTTGTCGAGAATTAGGTCACATTTGGCTTCATTCACTGAGTTAGAATTCCTCATTTTCACTTTGTACTTTTTCTTGGTATATACAACATTGTTTTTCAGTGAGCCTATATTTACACCATTTGGTTTCCTTGGTACAACTTTATTTTTAAAGTTCTAAAGTATTTTTTACCAAAGTGTAGCTAATATTTAAAGATGAACACAATAGTTCTACTGCCAGAGTCTCTAGAACGTAGAGCCCATTAATATTTTTATTTTAGTTTTACTGACGAATCCTTGACAAACAATAAGCTGCACACATTTGAGTGTACAGCGTAGTGAGTGTTGGCACATGCATACACCAAGTAGACCATCACCACAGTCAAGGTGAGGAACTTACCTGTCACCCTATGTGTCCTCGTGCCCTTTTGTGACCCTCCCCATCCCTGCATGCCACCTACCCCCATCCCCCAGGCAGCCACTCATCTGCTTTCTGTCATACGTTAATTTGCATTTCCTAGAATTTTAGAGAAATTGAATCATGCAATATGTATGCCTTTTTTTGTCAGGCTTAATTCACTTGGTATAATTATTTTGAGACTCACCTGCATGGTAACCTGTGTCAGAGTTGTGATTTGTCCATTCTCCTATTGATGGACATTTGGGTTGTTTCCAGTTTTTGGCAGTTACAGATAAAGCTGTTATGAACATTTGTGTACAATTCTTTGTGTGGACATATGCTTTCAGTTCTCTTAGGTAAATAGCTGGGAGTGGAACGACTGAGCCGTATGGTAGGTATATGTTTAATGTTGTCAGAAAACATCGAACTGTTCTCCAACGTGGCTGTACCATTTTACATTCCTACCAGTAGCATATGAGAGTTCCAGTTCTTCCACGTGCTTGTCATCACTTGGTGTGGTCAGTCTTTAAGTTTTCACCATTCTAAAAGATGTGTAGAGGTATCTCATTGTGGTTTTACTTTGTGTTCCTAACACTTAAGGTGTTGAATACTTTTTAATATGCTTATTTGACATCCACATATCTTTTTGAATTGTCTGTTCAAATCTACCAACTTTTTTTTAAAAAGCTGGGTTTGTTTTCTTATTTTT